GCCCCTGAGCACTTGGAAGCCCCCTGCCCCCATTAAAAAAAAGGGAAGGAGACAGAAAACACAACTAGGATACCGGTTATTTGTGAGGTATTAGGTCTATGATAAATATCCATAAAGTACTGTTAAAATTTTTAATTAAATTTATTGTGGCTTCAAATCATTCCATTAACTGGTAAGTAGGTTTTGGAATGCTGGGTAGTGTAACCTTCAGTGACGACCACAGAACCAGTACAGGTGTGTCTGGAGCAGTCAAACAGGACTTCTATCTTTATCTATATCCAAAAATTTACCTTCGAAATCAAGACTTGAAACAAACATGGCAATTTGTTACAGATGTTAAAATCCCAACAGAGTAAAAATAAATTAATGTTATTTTCTGGGACCTTCTAAAGAATCAAAATTTCACACCAGCAGCCAGACAGATAGAACAGGAGGTAAGAAACTTGCCTGTTAATGAGTGATTCCAGATCAAATCCCCTGGACACAGCCAGGGATCATTCCTGAGCAGAGTGTCATGAATAGTCCCTGAGTGCCCTGGGTGTGACCCAACCTACCCCCTTACCCAAACACACACAAATTTCACACATAATGAGAAAAAAGAAAATATAACTATGATAAAAATAAAAAGCCAATGATCATGCTTTAAATTTTGATTTTGGTTTATTTTCTTTACTACACAAAACAGTTTGAGGTAATGTATACAGAAAACACATAAACATGGGCAACCAAGATAAAGTAATATAAATTCACAAAAATCAGGAAAAACTGATTAAGAAAACCAAGCAAGGACATGAGAAAATTTGAAAAGAATCAGGTGGTCCTCTTTAGGATTCAACAAACACCGAATTGTACTCTACAAAATACTAAATTGTAAATACAAATTTGATTATGAGGGCCAAAGAGATAGTATAGGAGGTGAAGTACCTGCCGAGCATGTGCACAGCCCAATTTCAAATCCCCAGCACCATATATGGTCCCCCAACACAGTCAGGGGTCACTCCTGAGCAGAGCCAGAAGTAATCCCCGAGCACACCAAGTGTGGCCCCACAACAACAACAACAAAAAAAAAAAAAAAAAAAACCAAAACTGAGTATCAACTTCAAATAGAAAAATTAAAGTGAAAGCCACAGAATTCTTTCTTCATTAAGATGAAGTACACCAAAAAAAAAAAAAAAAAAGAGGAAGAAGACTTTCCATAGCATGCAAGACAGCATATATTAGCTAACACATCAGCTAGTAACTGCCATACTGAACAACACTCTCAAGATTCCTCACAGCATATATAGTGGTGAGCTTAGGCTTCCCACTAGGACAGGATATGGCAGCAGGTACCAGCTTGGGGCCCACCAATCCCATTTCCTCTTCAACCTCGTCATACAGCTAGACCACAGTTGCAGTCTTCCTTGCCTGGTGAGTCCATCCTGTTCAAGCCACTTAGGACTGCATGGTACTGGTGAAGCAGCTCAACTTCTCTATCTTCGTTTTGTCCCTGTGTAAACAGGAAATGCACTATCTCACAGCATTATTTTTAGGATAAACTTCTATACTTTTCTTAAACTTGTCTGACTTAGAATCCATTGAACAAGAATCAATTTACTTAAATACAAACTTATCGAGACCATCTTAGACCTAATGATTCAGTCTCCAGTGGACACACTGAAGTAAGTTTATTTTATTTGCAGGGAAAAGGGATGTCTCCTCACAGAGCTCAGGAAGCTCGGGGGACCCCACTCTTAGCCAAATAGGCCAGAGGTTCTGAGGGCGATGGATGTACCACTGCTTGGACCCTGCAGCACCTGAGGTAACCAAACCTCCCCAAGAGGTCTGGGAAGCCCTCCAGAGCCACACCTGGCAGTGCTCAGGGGTCCCCAATGCTACACCCAGAAATGCTCAGGGGACCACATGATACTGGGTCATGGTCAACCACAAGCCAGGCTTGAGTTCTAACTCTTATGCTGACCCTAGGAAACTAATTTCAGAGAGCACCCAAAATAATCCCTAATCAAACAATATGGAGAACACTGAAACAATTGTTTCGTGTTCCATCCCTCCCTCTCCCCCGAAACACACATCCCAATTCACATTGAAGCCCTAATCCCCCGTGTAATGGTATCTGGAGAAAGGGCCTTTGGGGTATGACCAGGTTTCCGTGAGAGGTGGAGGTCTCATGATGGGATCCAGTGCTTCATAGAAGGGGAAAGAACACCGAGTACACTCTCTCCCTGCATGGAAGGGCACCACAAGCAGGGTACAGCAAGGTTGCTGCCTGCAACCCAGGAGACCCCTTGCAGGGATACCACATACAGGCACCCTGATCTGCAATTTCCAGGCTTCAAAACTGTGAGAAATACATTCCTGTAGTTTAAATCACCAGACCTTGGTATCTCTCAGCAGCAGTATCAGCTGCTTTATATGCAGACAAAACATATATAAGGATCAATATAATCCGTAACAAGTAGAAAGTTTCTACCACATCGTAGCCTTCCTTATTATGTGATTGGGGAAAAAAAAAAAAAGACATTATTTCAATGAAAATTTGTACCTGCAAAGAGATGGGGAAATCTCCCCTTTGCAATTCTGGTGTATTTCAAGGATAAAAAGTCTGAGAAGCAATGTGGGCAGAGAAATGTGGAGCAATGTGAAGCAGCTACACTTTACTAACCTGCTTTTCTCTCCAAATACAGCTAAGTACTCACCAACAGGAACACCTTCTACAACAAAGAATCACCTCCTGACCTGAAAAGTCAGTAGTGTGGTACTGTTGAAACCCGGAGTTTAATAAGATCCCGCTGATCTTTAACTACTGGACTAACAGTGTCCACAAACACTTCAAATTTGCTCATGTGCTTCCTGAACATCTTCCCAGCATGTTTTTTGCCTCTCCTTTCAGGCTCTCATCTTGGTAAGTGCAGACTATTGAAACAGAACAGTAAGACTGGATCATTTATACTACAGAAACATTCTCAGTTACAGAAACCAGCAAGTCCAAAATCAAGTCTCCATCATGGTCAGTATCCGGTGAGGTCAATTTCTGTGGGCCAGAATTCTCTGTGCCTTTCACCAGGCTGCGGGGCAGCCACGAGAGCTCTATGGAGATCCTCTAATAAAGTCACAAGTCCCATCATGTGGGCTCCATCCTTGTGACCTTATCACCCTCACTGGCCACCTCCTAAAACCATCATGCTGACATTAGAATTTCCATAAGGTAAGTGGGAGAGTACTATATACTATATATACAATTGTGTGTGTGTGTGTGTGTGTGTGTGTGTGTGTGTCATAGCAGTAGTGTCTAAGAGTGTTTGCAGGCAGAACTCACTTCTAAGCTAATGTAGAAATAACAGCGTCCCCACCAAACCCCATCCCAGCTAGGTTCCCTGTTATCTGCCTGTGAAGCTCTGGGCAGAAACTCCACTGGCATTCTGCTTCTCTCCTTTCCATCTCTGGGAGACCCATACAGGTTCAGCCAGAGCACATCTCCTTTGTCAAGTGGCAAAATTACATCTTTCCCTAAGAACCCTTCTTTTATCCTAACAACTGCTTGTTCCATCCCTCCTCCTATTAGCACTCAGGTGCTTGTCCTCAGGCAGTCAAGATTGAAAGCAGGGAACTGAAAACGAGAAGATGAAATTCGGTAAAGACTTTATTTGAGGAAATGAAGGGCAAGACAGGGAAGCTGATACCTAGGTGTCCTTAAGCAGGAAACCAAAGTTTAAAAAAAAAAAAACCACCTCTTTTTATATTCGTTTTACTCAAGGGAAAAGTGAGCACTGTCTACCTTGGGCTTAAGACATCCCAGATGGGAAGACAAACGGCTGGGGAACAGGCAGGATTACTGGAAAGGATTATTTTCTAGATATCCTGGGTGCAGAGCGATGACCTGTTCACGAGAATTTACCTGCAGAGTCACACTTACACACACTTACACAGATTTACACACACACACACCCTCCCCCCATTCCAGGGCAGAAAGACACTGCACAGATTCACACACACATACACAGACAGACAGACAGACACACACACCCCTCCCCTAACTGATCCTGCATAGCCCAGCATGACCTGGACTCTTCCTCTACCCACATCCCCCCACACACACAACCATGCTGCACCCCCCCCCCCCACACACACACACACCATTCCAGGACAGAAAGACACTGCACAGATTCACACACACAGAGAGAGACATAACACACACATGCAGGAGCGCACACACACACCCCTCCCCTAACTGATCCTGCATAGCCCAGCGTGGCCTGGACTCCTCTGACTCCTCTTCTGCCCAGTCCCCATGCTCGCGCTCTCTCTCTCTCTCTCTCTCTCTCTCTCTCTCTTTCTCTCTCTCTCTTTCTCTCTCTCACACACACACAGAGCTTTCCTAACTGATCGTCCATAACCCATGAACTTTCTGCCCACACTTTTCCATGCTCCGCCACACGCGAGGGCGCATGCGGGCGCACCCACACTCGCACACAAACACAAACACACACACACACACACACACACACACACGTCCACACACGTTATAAAACCAAAGATCCGCTAGCTTGCGCCTACAAACAACTCCAACCAGAAGGCGGCCACACTCGATGCCACCTCGCACAGCTCCTCGCGCACACACCGCGGGTGGCCGAGGGCTGCGCCCGCAGGGAACGCCGTGTGCCCACGGGATGCCACCACCACCAACAGGTGCCCGGGCGCTTCGTGCTCGTCCTCGTCCAAGCTGCCGATCATTCACCTTTCACAGAAGGGAGAACAACAACGACGGAAACGGCCGCCCCGCGGAGTTTCCCTTAGACCCCCCCACCCGGGGCCCTGCTCCTCCTCACGCCAAACCAGGAGTCACCTCAGGAATTCCTCGGGATCCTCCCCCTCAAGCTACCGGGGCTGAGGACGCGGAACGGGGAGGGGACCGCCACGATGCTCAACTGCGGGCGCCGGGCCGACAGGTCCCAGCTCCGAGGGGAAAGGGACCCCCGCCCCCACCCTCCGCCCCGCCTTACCTGGCGGACGACTCGCTCCGACTACTCAGCTGTCCGCGAAGAAACTCCCACCTAGCTCGGCTTCCAGTGGCGGAAACGGACGAGCGCGGGCTCTGGCGTCATCAACCGTCGCCCGCCTGTGGATCACGTGCTGCCCCGCCCTCGCCCCGCCCCCTCGGCTCACGTGACGGGCCGGGAGCCGCCGGGGCGGAAGCCGGGGCCGGCGGGCTGGCGAACCGTAGGGCTGGGGCTCGGAGCCTGTCCCCGAGCGCGCGCCGAAGCCGGCCCTGCGCGTGCGCCCTGGCGCGGGGCGCCGTGACAGGTGAGTCGGAGAGTGAGTGCGTGCGGGCGCGCCGTCGCTTCGCCAGCCCCCGCCGCGGCGTCGGCCGGGCCGCCCGGGCGCGGGGCTCCGCTGCCGCGTGGGGTGGAGTCTGCAGAGCCTCGGGAGCCCGGCTGGGAGCTGGGATGGAGCGGCTCGGGAGCTGGAGGAAGTGATGAGGTTCCGCCGCCCGCTCCCGCCCGAGCCCGCAAGTTTCCGGGAGCGGCGGCGGCCGGACGCGGGATGCCCCCTTCGTTCCCCCCTCGAACCCCCTTGCAGTCCTTTCGGAGGCGGCCAGGAGCTGAGCGAGTCTTGGCCCCTCTCCGGGAGCTCCTGGGTTCCCTCAGGCGAGGATGTGCAGGTGCCAAAGTCTTTCGCACCTCGGGGGCAAAAAAAAATAAGAAAAGCAAAGGTCCCCGAAAAGTATCTGTGGAGGTGACCGCACCCGGGGGTGGCGCCGGCGCGGGGAGCCCAGCCCAGCTCCTTGCAACCTAGGTGATGGGGCCCCGAGCGGGTCCGCCGCCTCTGCCCCAGTTCAGCACCCGCCAGGCTTTCTTTCAGCGTTTCTTCTCGAGATCCGTGAAATCAAGCTGGAAGGAATCGGCTTCCATTTAGAACTCTGATGCGTGAGATTGTACCGGTGACTTTTCCCTTGGTCGACAACCTTTAGGTTTTGTTCCTGATTAATGGGTTTGTGGCAGTCATTGCTTCCTTCGTGATGGCTCTGAGGTTTGGGGGAAAGGGTAAAAATGGGTTGTTTTTGTCCCTTGAGTGAGATAAGCTGTGATTGGCCCTTCCTGCAACAGTTTTCTTTCCTTCAGAATTCAGTTCTGGGCGCTTGGGGTAGTTAGTGGGGTACTGCATGCTTCCACTGTCTGACTTTTGCCTATGATTACCTTCCAGTCTGAAAAATCACAATTCCCTAGGAACTCTTGAAAAAGAAGGTTACCAGACTCTTGTCCCTCATTCATAAAGGAAAATTAGGGCATGGGGTGGATTCGATTTCATCCCTTATCACATGGTGATAAGAAAACTGGCTTTTATAGTTTTGCTCCTTCCTGAACACCTTTGAATAGAAAATATAATATAGTTTCCTCAACAACATTTATCGGCATCTGGACCTAGTATGATTGTTTGTTGTTTGTTTTGTTTTTAATTCAACTAAGTCTTAACTCTGTAAAGCCACCTGCTGCCATGGTTGTTACTTGGTTGGACATTCGTCCTTATGAGATCTTAAGTTTTTAGATTCTGTATAGGCCAGTTTACCAGCCAGCAGTGGAACTGGTTTTTAGATTCTATGGCCAACTAAAGATTTATACTACCACAGTATAACTTGGATAAGAATTTAGGGATGGAAATAAGCGTAAAAAATCTTGGCTTCTCTCAAAAATCTGTCATTGTCCCAAACCTCCCTGACCAAATGCTTATTGATGCTGAGAATACCTGTCCCTCTGTTTGTGGGGAAGAATGCAGGTAATAGCCCTTGTCCCACTGGAATGTTCTGGGTTACTTTGGTGATCTTCAGAGGACCTCTCAAGGGCCTTTTCTGTCCATTGTTCATTATTTCACCCCATCCCTCATTTTCCAAACCAGACCGTACCAGCACACACAGAAAAAGAAAGTGCCTTAACAAGAAAGCATCACTTGGGGCTGGAGCGATAGCACAGCGGGGAAGGCGTTTGCCTTGCACGCAGCTGACCCAGGTTCGATTCCCAGCATCCTATACCGCCCCCCAAGCACTGCCAGGAGTAATTCCTGAGTGCAGAGCCAGGAGTAACCCCTGTGCATCACCAAGTGTGACCCAAAAAGAAAAAGCATCACCGTTCCAAAAAAACCTTAAAAGGACTTGTTAAAAATGTATGCTTTGAAAGGTATGGTAGCAGCATTCTTATTGCACTTGCGCACTGGCACCTGACCTACATATTCCACTGACCAGCAGTTATAACCCAGGCCATAGACCAGCGGTTTTTAATCTTTGTACCCCTTCCCCCAAAATGGTAGTTCAAGAACACTGTAGTTTAGGGTACCTTTATATTATCGACAGCTCTAGTGGCTTTTCCTCTATTCCTCCAGTAATTCCCAGTTCCATCCACTGCCCCCAATCTGCTTCTGTCCATTGCTCATGCCGCACCAGCCTCATCTGCTGCTTTACTATGAAGTCTGTGTCCCATCTTGCCTTGGGGCCTTTTCTTTTGCTTATAATTTCTGCAAGCAATGCCCTTCTCCCAGACCTGTTGTTTAAAAAATAATAATAATAATAGTGACATGAAAAGATTTGATCCCTTTGTAGTCTCTAGTCAGGAATCACAGTGGCATAGCTGCATGCATTGACTTTGGCACTTCAGAGACTGTAGTCAGGCTATAAAAAGTTTCATCTTGGAATAGGCTGGGAGCCATTTGAGTAGAGAAACAGCACTAATGCCTTCTTCATGACTATCTGAATTCCAGTTTCCTTACTTCTTTACTTTGTCCCCAGACTTTCATGATTGTATCCAGTGCTGCAGGAAACATCCTTGCACCTCCATCCTTCTAAGTTGGTGCTTGACTTTGTCCCAGCCAAGTATGACATGGTTAGGCCAGGATGTGTATCTTCAAAAAAGGGTGTTGGTCTAGTGTAGGGCAAGAGAAATGATTCACATTTCACAGTAAGGAATTTCTCCTAGCTCAGCAACAACAAAAAGATTTTTAGCCATTGCCAATGCAAGGAAAGTGATTTTTGACAGTTACGTTAGTTACTACTTCCTTCTGTACTGATGAGTTAAGGATCTTTGCCCTCATTTATTTCTCATTTGGATTGCCCTTCATGAATAAGCCATTGTATCCACTGCCCCCCCCTCCTTTTTTTCCCTCTCAGGCTGTTGATCCTCTTAGCTTGTGAGGTCACGTGCATGTTTTAAAAATCAATTTATTGTCTGCCTTCTGCATTCCAAATTTGTCTGCCAAATCTTTTGTCATAGAGAAGTATTTAAACATTAGGTGCTAAAAGATACTCTTCGTAGTTCTTCATTTTCTTCCCCAGTGTGTAGGTGTCAGGGTAAGAATTCTTTTCCAAACACCTCAGAAGATTTTAGTACTGTCCATTTGTTTTGTTTGTGGGGGGCACACTCAATTATGTTCAAGGAAACACACAATACCAGGGCTCTCGTTTGCAAAGCAGGAATCTGCCCAGTGACCCATCTCCCTAACCCTCCAGATTCAACATTTCATGTAATACCCTTAGCTTCTTCTTAACCACACACACTAGTACTTCAATTTCCTCTCTGCTGTCCTTCAGGGCTCATGACCAAGCAGGAATCACCTTTTCCTGTTATTTATGCACTTGTCATCTTTGCCACTGCCAGGAAGTAAGTGGAGCACAGTGAAAATGAAGATAAATGTTGTGGGGTTTTTATTTCTTTGCTGCTGTCTTCCACAAGACTCAATGGTTTCAGTCTTGGCTTCCCATCACAGTCATTTTGGGAGATTCTTAAGACAGATGCCTAAGAATATCTCTAGCCTACTTCACAGAAAATGACAAGGTTCCAGGTGGTTCTGTTATGCAGCCAGACTTCAGAACTTGTGCAGTAGAGAATGCATTCCTTAACCATCTTCATATTCAGCTTGGCAGAGAGGCACTTGTTAAAGATTGGATAGGTAAAAAAAAAAAAAATCAGTTATTGCCTCAGAAGCATTCAGGAGAATGTCTGATCACTATAATTATGATATGTGCAATAGTATGTGCATGATCCAGCTATTCCTAGACAAACATTTCAATGCAAGAAGAATAAGTAGTGGAATCAACTACACACTGAAATGCTCAATTATGTGAGACTTTTGGATCAGTTTTACACAGCATTTATAAAACATCTTTATAGAATCATGTAGAATATGATATCTGATTTTAAAAGAAGTTTTGGACTGCCAAAACATTAGCTCTGCCCTTCCATTTCTAGCAAATAATATGACAGATTCCCTTGAAATGCAAAAGAATGTGTCTCTTGAATTCTGTGTATAATATTGGCAATTATGTGCAGTTTTATAAGGTATGGGATTAATTCATGCAATTCTGCATACGTTGAAACCGCAGAATACCTAATGACCTCTCCCAAGTTTAAAGATCAGCTGTAAAGGGTGAGAAAGAATCCAAGAGTATTGAAATAGGGCTGAAGAGATAGAGCAGAGGTTAAGATGCTTCCTTACACGCAGCCAACCCTTGTTTGATCCTCAGCATGACATATAATCTCTCAAGCAGAAGTGGTCCTTCCTGCTAAGGGTGATCCGTGAGCACAGAACCAGGAATAAGCCCTGAGCATTGCTGCCTATGGTCCCCACTCCCCAAAAAAAAGCCCCAAAAATGAAAAAGAGTTTTGGTATAGCAAACTTCTCCCACATGGAAAATAGGAACAAAGAAGAAAAAAGTGCCCTCCCGGTTACCAGCACACATTATGTGTTTGGGCTAGTGGAATTATATGTATGTTTCACTTGCTTCCCTAGAAACGGAAGTTTTCATTTTTTTTTTTTTTTAATACAGATTCTTTCATGGAGTTGCCAATCTGTCAGCAGACCTGGTTACCTTTAATGATTGACAAATCCCAGCTCTGAAGCCAGTTCAACATTCCCTCTGGCAAGGCATTGAGTAACTGCTTATCTTCATGATGTTGGACTTTCTAGCTGAGAATAACCTCTGTGGCCAAGCAATCCTCAGAATTGTTTCCTGTGGCAATGCCATCATTGCTGAACTTTTGAGGCTCTCCGAGTTTATTCCCACTGTATTCAGGTTGAAAGACCGAGCTGATCAGCAGAAATACGGAGACATCATATTTGACTTCAGCTATTTTAAGGTAATTCTTCTCCGTAGCATTTTTCTGCTGTCCTACATAAGCATGCTTTTTCTGTAGGAATCAGGATACTCTGAAATGCAAAGCAATCTTGAAGAAGAAATTAAAGAGGAAAGCTTGGGGCTGAAGTGATACTAAAGCGGGGAGGATTTTTGCCTTTCATTCAGCCAACCCAGATTCGATCCCCGGCATCTTATATGGTCCCCCAAGCACCATAGTGTGAGTGCAGAGCCAAGAGTAACTTGAGCATTGCTGGGTGTGACCACCTCGCCCCCCGAAAAAAGCTAAAAATGAAAGCTTTTGAACCAAATTTAATATCAACCACTTCAAATAATATATCTAAGTGTAGATACTTATGGGAGCCTTAATATAGTATAATCAAAATGTAAAGGATAACTGGTATAATTAAGTACCCAGAATTTAAAAGCATAGTACTTATGGTTGGTTCTTTCAAAGAGATTGCATATCTGTGTTTTTTTTTTTAATCTGTGTTACTGTTCTCTTCATTATTCTCTTTTACTCTGCTTTCAATCTTTGATATCCTCATTGACCCTAAAAATTATTTGAAAAAGAACAATTTAGAGATTATTTTCCACGGCAGACTTTTATTGACATTGAGCCTCATTCTGTTTCTCTCCTTAGGGTCCAGAGTTATGGGAAAGCAAGCTGGAGGCTAAGCCAGAGCTGCAAGATTTAGATGAAGAATTTCGTGAAAACAACATAGAGATTGTGACCAGATTTTATTTAGCATTTCAGAGTGTGCATAAATATATTGTAGACTTAAACAGGTATTGGCTGATGTAGTGGTAGCTTATTCTGATAGTAACTGGGTGGGGGTGGGGGTGAGGAGTGGAGAGGAGCCACTGAGAGCATGTAGACCTTTATTTTTGATGGATGGAGGTGGGGGTTAAGAAGCAGGATTTATGGTGGGTGGGATGTGGTGGTTAAGTGCTAGGCTGGGAAGCAGGGACTGGAAGGGGCAACATCAAGACTCTCAGGGGCACAGTGCCTGCCATTGTTCACAGGCCCATTATTGATTTGGGATGTCTTTGACCCCCACAGCCATGTGGGCTGAGCATCCACATGAACCCATGTAAAGCCCCACTTCTTGGAGATGTGGATCTTCTGGCCAGCAAGAAACTTGAACTTGGCCTGGTGCAGAGCCTCAGTCACATGTTCCTTGTTCTGCAGTTTGGTAGAGACGGACAGATGACTTGGCCAGTGTGTACCCTGGCCACTGTGCCTGGGGACTTTCCAAAGGCCCTTCCACTGACCTGTTTGGAGCCTTGATATTGGGGCCAGCACAAGAGCAAACAGGACACGACACAGAACCTGTCTCCCAGGTCCCTTATTGCAGCACATGCAAGCCACAGGCTATCACACTACCAAGGAAGCTGCCTGCTGTCTGCAGCGTTGCACACCCGGTCCATGGGATGGAAAGCACAGTCAGCTTAGTTGGCTGCACGCATGTAGACCTTTTTGAGTTGCTCCAAAATATACCTGCTTATACTGGATATAATTGTCTTTTTTTTTTTGTCCTCTAAAACTGGTCATCTTAATTATTTGAGAGCTGTATAATATTTTCCTGTTCTTGTGAAGTAGCATAATAACCTTGATTTATACTTAGTCATGTGGCTTTCGATCCTGGAATTTATGGTCATTTTCTTTTATATTTTATATGAAAAGTGCAGGAGGGAAAAAGGAACATATTTTTGTAGCCTGGGTAACAGGCCTGACTTCTTATTCCTGACCGCACAATATCCTTTCGCTTCCAGACTTTATGGGTCCATTACTCATTAGCTTTTAAACTATCTATACCAACTATGTTCTTAGGCCATTACTCTTAAGATATTTGTGATTCATAAATCATGACTGTAGAATTTTCCTTTATTTGGAGTAGCCATAAATATCAGCCCCTGGCCCTAATCACTATGAATTTGCACTCCCAAAACTAATCTTAAAATGTAAGGGAACATGAATTGTTTGAAAATTCAAATGCCTGATGTTTTTTGCCTTATCTTAAAAAAAAAAAAATCCATCAATAATGTTAAAAGTGTCTGTCCTCAATGACTAACTTGCCATGGTGTTTTCTTTATAGATACCTAGATGATCTCAATGAGGGTGTTTACATTCAGCAAACCTTAGAAACTGTGCTTCTCAACGAAGATGGAAAACAACTTCTAGTAAGTACTGGTGACCGTTTTGCACAGAAATATAATACAGAGCATCAACCTCTGTATGTCACGGAAACATATTATGCAGTACTTTATACAGCTGTAAAGCAGCTAATGATCCTACTTTGCAGGTCCATATCTTAAAATATGGGAAATATAGGAAACTTAAAATTATTCTGACTTTAAATTCTGACTTAAAATATAGGAAACTAAATAAAATGGTAAGTGAAGAAAGAACTTATCCTGGAAGGTTAGTGCCTCCTCCATGTAAACAGCCTTTCTTCTTTCTCTTTTTGCACCTTTGACCTCTAGCCTGATACCTCATTTACAGTAATCACCTAAGAAATGTTTGTTAAGTGAATGCCTTTATCACAAAGATCTGTTTATGGTATTGAGACTGATTTGGTGTTCGATGGTCAAATATCAATAAATATGCCACTTGAAAGATAATCTCCGGGGGCTGGAGCGATAGCACAGTAGGTAGGGCATTTGCCTTGCACGCAGCCGACCTGGGTTCGATTCCCAGCATCCCATATGGTCCCCCAAGCAACGCCAGGAGTGATTCCTGAGTGCAGAGCCAGGAGTAACTCCAGAGCATCGCTGGGTGTGACCCAAAAAGAAAAAAAAAAAGAAAAAGAAAAAAAGAAAGATAATCTCCATGAGTTGGTTATTTTGCATACATTTTTCAAATCCCATTCTGTCTAGACAGGACACTTAGGAGAAAGCCTCATTGTAATATATCCTCATTGTGATATAAAGCTCTATGGAGGAATTATAGCAAAATGGTCTTCATCCTTTATTAACTTCATTCTTTAAGAATGTATAATCCAGGAGCTGGAGAGATAATACAGTGTTGAAGTGCTTGCCCAGGGCTATAGCAATAGTACGCAGGTAGGCAGGGTCTTTGCCTTGCGTGCAGCCGACCTGGTTCGATCCCTTGCATCCTATATAGTCCCCCGAGCACCTCTAGGAGTAATTCCTGAGTGCAGAGCCAGGAGTAACCCCTGAGCATTTCTGGGTGTGACTCAAAAAGCAAAATAAAACGCTTGCCTTCTGCATAGAGGATCCTGGCTTGATGCCCAGCACCGCATATGGCTTCCTGAGCACCGCCAGGTATGGTCAAAAAAAAAAATAATTGTAGTAAATAAATAATGTGTACTCTGACCATTGTCTTTTTCTCTTTATAGTGTGAAGCACTGTACTTGTATGGAGTTATGCTGCTGGTCATCGACCAAAAGATTGAAGGGGAAGTGAGAGAGAGAATGCTGGTTTCTTACTATCGATACAGGTATCCTGTGCTAGAACTGTTAATTTCCAAAGTTTTGCTATTGGTAAAATTAAGTACAGGTCTTCATACTTTATTTTTTTGGTTTCGGGGGTCACACCCAGGGGTGTTTGAGGGTTACTCCTGGCTCTGCTTCTGGCAGTGCTTAGGGAAGCATATGGGATACCCGGGATGAACCCACAATACTATCTCTCCAACCCCAGTGTCCACACTACTTTTATTTTTAACAGCGGCATTATGATCTAGGCTGCAAAAGTTTAAGAATTTTTCTCTTTTCCAAATATAATGTAGAACTATAACAATTACTCTGTTTTATATCATACGTGAATGAAATATATTATCTGCTTCTTTAAAAAAATGTTTTTAATCTTGTAAAACGTTGTCTACAATTCTGAAATCCAAACTGTTTAAAAAAATAAGTAGTTTCTCATTCACACACAGACATACACATATACACAGGAACTGATCTTTGGCAGTAAATTAGATTAAAATTGAAATCATTTAGAGTCAGAACTTGGTTGGAACATGTAAGAAATTGTAGTCTTCGTTTATTTCATTTGTGAAATTTATCATGGAAATGTTAATGTGTGTTGATTATGTAATGTTAAATCACATTCTAATGTGTATTCTATATGACCTATGCACCATAAAATTTTCTTATATTTGAAAATTACTATAATCTGAAAGAATTCCAAACCCAAAGATTTTAGGGAAAAAAGGATGTGGACCTTTATGTAGAATAGTAGAAATATAAGAAACTAACTTCTGGGTTTTCTATAACAGTGTTTTAGAAAATACAATTTGGAATCTTAAGGCTGGTCACATATAAAACTGAAGAATCAGCCTGTAACTGAATTTTTGTGTTGCATGTCAAAGTGTCTAATGGGAGTGGTTTGCTTCTCCTTCTATTTCCCATTGCAAACACAACTCAGTGCTGCTCGATCCTCTGCGGATTCAAATATGGACGATATCTGTAAACTGCTTCGAAGTACCGGTTATTCCAGCCAACCAGGAGCCAAAAGACCCCCCAACTATCCTGAGAGCTATTTCCAGAGAGTGCCTATTAATGAATCTTTCATCAGCATGGTCATTGGCCGGCTAAGATCTGATGATATTTACAACCAGGTGGGCTCAGAGTTTAGTGGTTTAAAGAAATTGCTTTTACTTTCCTCCTCTTTCTTCCTCAAAACAGCAAAAAGTTATTTTAAACCTTTTCAGCTATGCAGTAGGATGGCTGTGGGAAGGAAGGATTATTCATTTTGGCAGAATTCCGGATTTGGGGGAGAAGATGAAATTTGATAAATATTTGAAAGGGAGATACATTTATTTTCAACTATTCAAGAAACGGCTCCTAATGTATTGACAGAGGCAGCCAAGATATCTGCCCGTTTGTTCCCCCAGTCCTGCAGTGAGCTCTTCATTGAGAAAAATAGGCCAACAGCTAAAGAAATTATAGTGAAATAGTTATTACCTTATTGGAAAAGTAGCTTGAAACATAACAGGGACAGCAAAGTTGCAGTAGGTTGCATCAGGTAGTACAGTGGTTATTGTACTTGCCTTGCATTCCACTGACTGTTTCAAATCCCTGGCACCAAGTATATTATTCCCCCTAGCACCACCAGGGGTCACTTGTGAAAACAGCCAGGAATATTCCCTTAGCACTGCCATTTATAGCCCCCTTCCCGCCAACCCCAGTAGATAAATCGCTATATTGCTGTATAATATGTTTTGCAACAGGTTACAAAGGGATTGTAATGGATCTCCAGACAAATCAAGAGTGGGGCTGTAAAATCCTGCAGAACCAGAAAATTCTTTCACTTTTTTTCCCCAGAATACATAACACTCACTCAGTTAAATGGGATAGTATGGAAAAACTGTCATTTGCCTTCATTTTCCTAAAGAAGACATAACTGTACATAGTGTATATATGTATTTTTTTTCTTCCTAGAAGAGAATAAAGACTTGGACTTACAATACCCTGGGACCATTTATCACACATTATATCTACTCTGTACAGTTCTTTGGGAAACCTTTTGATTTTTCTTATGAATAAAAGAAGATAAAAGTTAGTTTTTGGAGGTGGAAGTGATAGTACAGCAGGTAGGGTGCTTGCCTTGCACACAGCCAACCCGGGTTGGATCCTCATATAATCCCCCTGGTAATAATCCCTGAGCACAGAGCCAGAAGTAAGCACCACTAGCTTTGACCCAAGAAAACAAAACAAATTTTTTTTAAATGTTTTTTAAGACACTTCAGAATGAGAAGCTGTGTGAAGAGCTAGATCTCCATGATAGTTTGTTGCTATTCATTGAGAATGAATGTGGACTAAATTGTTTTATTTTTCCATAAAGTATTCTCTGCTTTTCCCAAAGATCTTGCAATGTAAACATTGTTCTTATTGCTGCAAAAAAAAAAAAAAGAATTCTTACAGGGTGGACTCAGGGTCAGATCAGTAATCTGCATCCAGGTGTGAACAGCTTCAAAGCTCATGCCAACACTCATTACCCTCCTACCTCCCGTCTGGTCCATTGTGTCCCTGTTCAGGCCACTGTGTTCCCATTTTACCTGCCCAGAGACTTTTGTGACTCTGACATTAAGATCTGGTTGTGCTCCATTTCCTCCCACCCTCTGCCCTTCCCCTCCTTACCCCTGCTTCTCACTAATTGCACCAGAGGCCTGTCACATGACAGCATCTGGTTTCCTGTCTCCAGACCATGTGGAATTGGACCTGACAAGTAGTTTCTGGACTCTTACCCACAGGGTATGGTCCTGTATTTGGAGCAGCCTCATTCTGCCTGGGGAATGGAGAATAGTCTGGAGAGGGAATAAAGTTGGGCAAACTCATCAAGGAAGAAGTAGCAAAGACTTTCTGGTTCAACTTCCAGGCTTTCCTGAGACTTAGCCACACTCCTGCATGCAGTTGCCTCTGCCCTTGAGACAGTTTCCTCCCTCTCTGTTTATAGGAGCTCAGGTGACAGATAATGTGTGTGTAATCAGTACATTATG